AAAGAGACAAATGAGAGAGAGAGAGAGAGGAAAGCAGAGAGAGAACCAGATACACGCACATGCAGACAGAGAACCATGTGCACGAACACAGAGAACCAGAACATACCCATAACAGACGCATGCGCACACACGTATCCAGAACCAGACACATGTGTGCACAGAGGTAGACAAACTCACAGAAGCAGATGTGTGGGCACACGGAGCTGAGCCACTAGACAAAGTCCGCTCCAAGGCACGTGTGCACCCGCCGGTATGGAGCTAATGCTGGAGCCCGGAGCAGATGTTTGCAGCCTCCCAGCTGCAGCCAGCCCAGGCTCTGGGCTGCTGCTGCCAAGCACGGCAGGGCTTGCAGCCTCCCAGCCTGATGCTGGGAGCAGCCCGGGTTTCGTAGCTGGTGGCAGCAGCTGCCTAGAGCCCAGCTCGGTGGTGGTGTGCTGAGCAAAATGGCCTTGCGTGCTGTGCTCGGCACATGTGTCAGGAGTTGCTGACCCCTGTAGTAATGCAAGGACATTTCACTTGGCTCAGATTAGACTAGACTTCATGTATGTGTGGTCTCATGACTTCTATTAGAAGAAAGGCAAGGCATGTTGATTGTTGCTATTTAAATCTGCTTTGTGTTTTCAAACTGTGTTTTTGGGGTTTTTTTTACATAGCATCTTTTCAATAGAAAATTAACTGGCAATCCTTCAAGTTAAAGCAGTCTCTTAATACATATATCCTAGTAACAATTTATGAAATTTTAGCTAGACCTACATTTTAATCCGAAGACCTGAATTGATATAGGGTCCAATAAGCTACACGTTAAGTTTTAAGCACTGGCAACCTCTTGCTATTCCAGTCTTTTTGTCTTTGAGGCAAATTTCTTAAGGTTAACAAAGATGTGATGAATGACCTGGATCACAGCAAAAAAAATAGACACCTAGCTTTCATTCATAGACATTAGGGCTGGAAGAGTCCTTGGAAGATCCATCAAGTCCAGCCCCCTCCCTTGGGGGCAGGAAGTCGGCTAGGGTCAATGGATCCCAGCAAGATAGGCGTCCAAATGTTTCTTAAAAGAGTCCAGAGTAGGTGTTTGCACCACCTCTGGAGGCAGCCTATTCCAGGCCTTGGGGGCTTGGACAGTAAAGAAGTTTATTCTTATATCCAGCCTAAAATAGTCTCGGAGGACTTTGTGACCGTTTGAATTTGTCATCCCTTGGGGCACTCTAGTGAACAGGCATTCCCGCAGATCCTGATGTATACCCCTTTATATACTTATAGGCAGCCACTAAGTCATCCCTAAGCCTGTGCTTTCCTAGGCTGAAGAGTCCCATGGCCTTTCATCATAAGGCCTCTGACCATGCATATGGCTCTCCTCTGGACTCTCCCAAGCTTTTCCACACCCTTTTTAAACTATGGAGCCCAGAATTGGATGTAGTACTCCAGCTGCAGCCTCACCAAGGCCGTGTACAGTGGGAGGATGATGTTCTGAGATTTGCTTAAGAAGCATCTATGGATGCAAGCCAGAGTTTTGTTTGGTCTACCAGCTGTGACATAGCATTGGTGGCTTATGTTCATTTTGGGGGTCATGATTGAACACAAGTCCCTTTCAGCTGTGGTGCTAGCGAGTTTAGCACTGCCGAGCCTATAAGCATGATACGGGTATTTTTCCCTGAGGTGGAGTACCTTGCATTTTTCTGTATTGGGTTCTGTATCAGGTTTTTATCCACCCATTCTCTCAAGCTTAGCCTGGATCACCAGTCTATCTTCAGGTGTGGATAGGATAGGCTGGTAATCCAGGCCGACCTTGACAGGCTTAGAAAATGGGCAGATAAAAGCCTGATGACATTCAATACGAAAAAGTGCAAGGTACTCCACCTCGGGGTGGCGGGGAACCTGCATCATGCTTATAGGCTTGGCAGTGCTATGCTTGATAGCACCACAGCTGAAAGGGACTTGGGTCCCAAAAGGGACCTTCCTTAATTTCACATACTTGAATAGTACAAGATGTGCAAACGTCTGGTGTAAAGAAATTTCTGGAATTGAACTGGGACATACTTTTCTGGACAGGAAACTTCCGATCTTCATAAATCATGTTGCATACTTCCTGTTACATAGGAATATAACTAATGGCACACCGCAGTGCAAGCATGTTGACATTTTCATTACAAAAAACCTGGGTCTAACCTGTGACTGCTGTAATGCAAAAGTATTGAGGAAACCATGTGGTGTCTTTTCCAGATTTTGTTGGTTTACTTCCTACTGTAGTAGGGGGCAGGTGAGAGTACCTACCCCTGCTTCAGCTGCTTTTGTAGTTGCTGCTTTCTCCGATGCCAGTGTATGTAATTGGTAGCAAGGGGAATTGCTGCTAATGCCATGCAGTAATTGAAATGGCAGGAGGCACTGAGCAGGATCAACAGCTGTTATTTGCAGGTGCCTTATACCTGGGAACACACTGTATTAGAGTATTAAAATAGCTCAAATTACACTGGAACTGAAGCTCCTAGGTGACTTGTGCACTTCTGGACAGTGGCCAACCATTCCAGGTATGCTGAGTGGTCTGCTAACCAATCTGCATATGGAAATAGCTTTGACCTAGCAACTATTTAACATTCACACCAATAATGTATATTAATTACACAAGCTGAAGAATGATGTGCATGAGGTATTCCTAAGTGATTCAGTCAGTATTCTCCACCTGGAGTAGAGAAGTGTTCATTCTACTATGAGGGTAATTTTGAATCCCACCCCCCACCTTAACATCTTGATAGATAGATATGTATAGATTCTCTCTTCTCCTTCCATACTATTTGGAAGTGTTAATACCACACTGTTGCAACCAGCTCCTTTCTCAGCCAATCTCTTCAGAGCAAGGTTCAGAAAGCAAGGTTCTGTATTGGTACAATACAGAGCACTTTTGTACCAATACCACCTGTGCCAAACCTGTTTTGTAGATAAATAGGCTCTCAGTCTGCCATCTTGCATCATTCTCATTCTTCCAACTTTATTAGAAGCAACTGCTTTATGCCTTGCTTAAGATGCTTGTCTGTCTCTTCTATTTGTCCAAGTCTAACTCAGCTATGTATGATTGGACAGCATATTTTGTTCCTGTGTTAGTGCTCTGAGCACTTGGAACTCCCATTGCCTTCTGCTGAAGTATACATTGTGTTGTTTGTGTTGAAAACAGGCTGTTCAACCTCGTACTTTCAAATTTATGTTGAGTTTCTTCCTCTGCAGGTGCTAGATTTCTCTATTACAGACTTGTCTTCAGAATCTGATGGGATTCCAGATATTTTGGATTTGGATGAGGAAGACCAGCCAGATTTTTCACATGCAAATGGCCCTTTCATCATGGGACAAAGAGCTGAATAAAGATTGGACACAACACTGTTATTTTAATTCAGTATAACTTTTATTGCCATGTTAAGTTCTGTTTTGGCTTTTTAAAAAGAAAACCTCTATACCCCAAAAGCTGGATAGTTATTTTGGATCAATATGGCTTAACTTAACTGTATCAAACTTCTGATTAGCGTCTTTTTTCCTAAGGAATGCATGTTAGCTTACCTAAGTAGCATCTGCATCAAACTTCCTCATGAGGTCCAAATGTGGCCTGATCAATGTTCTCACCTGATGTGCACATTAATTTATGACCAGGTGCCTGTTTGGCTGTTAGTGGCAGCCAAGACAGCAATTTTAGTACTTTGACCAAAGGGGTATCTACAAACAGAACTGACTAGGTCTTTCCTTTTTAGGATCTGTGTAAAAGCACTTCTGCATCTACCTCTTCCTTGCTAGAAATGGCAGCAGACTTGGATTTGATCATCAGAGCCTCGTCAAGTTTTATTTCAGTTTGGCCCTTTTTCTTACATGCCTGAAGCAGGATTCCTTTGTGTAAAATGCTTCATGTATGAAAAAAATCTCTGTTTTCCTCTACGTGCTTTCCATGGCTGGGAACCTGGTGAGATCAAGAGTAGGGGCTGTGGTTAGAGAAGGGCAAATGAGATACAAATGATGTTGAGAGCTAAAAAAAGCAAGTAAGAAGACAGAAAGAGAAAACAAAGATAAATAGGAAAAAGAAGAGTGATCTCAAAGAAGTGAGAGAAATGGCAAAAATAGAAGGATCGAAGAGACATGGGTAAGAGACAGATAGTAAAAGTTGGAGAAAGTGATCTGAACGGCATAAATCCTGGATTTAAAAGCAGCCCATCACTTTCAGTGATAACCGACTAGAGCAATCAACTGTATGCTGAAGGTTTGATTCTGTATTTCTCACACGCATGTCCTGCTAATTTCAGAGGGAGCTTTGGGGTACAAAAGTGCAGCAGGATCAGGTCTGTTGAGTGCTAATGACTATATTCTGTGTTCTTTGTGCACAAATCCTGCTGACATCACAGGGAAGGCCCTTGTGAGTTCAGAAGTATTATATGGTGCTAATTTTGTAGAGTAGGCCCAGAACTTCTGCTTAAAAATATAATTCTGCTCTTACTATAGGATGAGGCTGACAAGCCCACTCTATAGTAATATAAAAGCTGATTGTTGTGAAAGTTTTAAGGTCTAGACACTGCAATGCCTTGAAATAAAGTTTGAGTTGTATATAATCTTAGGTTTCCTGCAGTTTTATTTCCTTTCTGTGTTTCCTGTAACTAATTCCTATGGAAAAAAGCTCTCATTGTGATTATTCATTGCTGGGGAGATAATGAATTTAAAAAGGACCAGAATGTAGCTCTGATTTAGAAATGGTAATTTGTAATTGGTAATAATGCTCTATGGTCCATAAGTGAAATGCTTATTAAAACATGACAAATGAAGCAGAGAGAGCTTGAAGGTCAGTGAGGGGGATTCATTTAATTCTGGGCTGTCCAACTGGCAGCCCACAGGCTACGTGCAGCCCACAACTGCTTAACTTGCAGCCAGTGGGCTTCTGCTGCCCTTATTCTTGGCTTCTGAGTTCCTTCTACCCCAGGGCAGCCAGAGATAGAGTTAGCATCAGGAGGGGGAAATAAAGGATGGGAGGTGAGGGTGTGTGCTGAGGAGGAATGAGAGGGGAGGGGATGTGTGGTCAAGCATGGGAAGGAAGGAGGTGCCAAAGCAGGGGGTTCTTACCTGATTCAGGGACTTAAACTTCCCAGCTGCTGCTTCTGAAGCATGGTACAAAAGAGGGGTATGACCATGCCTCTGGATCTGCCATTGCCACCTCCTGATCTGAGCTGCCAAGGTCTCCAAGTTCCCCTCCCTCCTCCAGCTTCTGTTTCCTTTTGACAGTGAGGCAAATGGTGATGGGGCAGTGTAGCCCATGTCAGAGGCAACATAGACCATGGCTGCTCCACAGTTGGACAGCTATGATTTAGTGCCTTTAGTTATGATACCAAAAGAACCTCCGGGTGTGATGCAGGAACAAGGGACCACTGAGAAGGAGAGATGGTTTTGCCCAGCCAGAGCCGGATGTGGCCTGAACCTGAACAAAGCCTCAAAGTGGCTGTTCTCAGGCAGCAAGACTTCAGAAACCAATTTAAACAGGAATTTGAAGAATAAGAAATAGGTCACAGACTGTCCCTCTGCTCAGGGCAGACTGATCGTTGAATTTGGGGTCAGGAAGTAATTTTACCCCATGGTCAGATTGGTTCAGAACAGGGGGGGTTTGCCTCCTGGGTGGTGGGGGCATGGCCCTCTACCTGGGATCTCTGGAACATTTATCGGCAGCATTTCATAGAAGCTAGACATTGGCTGCCATTGTTCCCCTGCTTTACCTGTGGCAGGTTAGGGTCTTAGGTCTTTTTTGTATCAGGGTTGATTATGGGTTGTATGGGGTGGTTTGGATAGGATGGTCCTGCCTCATGCAGGCGGGTGGTCTAGGTGACCTCTGGAGGTAGGTCCCTTCCAGTCTGACTTCTCTAGGGTCCTGTGGTTTTATGACTGGCTGGATTGTCATGTATGGTTTAGACAGGGACCGTAGTTCTTAGCCTGTTACCTGGACTCACTTTTGTGACCCCTTTGGGCTCTTCTCATAGAATCAAGGGGAATTAGGGTTAGAAGGTAGCAGTAGCGATGCATAGGGGGTTGCAGGGGGGTGCACATATACCCCCTGAGAGTGCTGGTGCACCCCCTGACTGGCCATGCTCCCTGCTTAGGTGGCAGGCAGGGGGGCAGGTGGGAATGCTGGTGCCCCGCCTGCAAGTGCTGGCTGGGGAGTGGGAATGCCAGACATAGCATTGCGGCCGCTTCTGGTAGTGCCGTGGCCAATTCCAGGAGCAACGTGGCTGGTTTCCCGGT